TAGCCCAGGCTGCTCTCGAACTCACAGCGATCCTCCTGCCTCAGCCTTCCCAGTGCTGGATTACAGGTGAGCCACCACGCCCTGATCCTTATCTTTATTTTTGAAAGATATTTTCTCCTGGGTTAAAATTCTTAGTAGATAGAGTTTCTCCTTTCCATATTTAAGATTATTGTTATCTACATTATTGTTCTTTTGCATTATTTCCAGTGGGAAAAAATCTACTGTTACTCTTATTTTGTTTGTTGTATGTAACATATCTTTGTTATCTTGATACTTTTAAGATTTTTTTATTACTGATCTTGAAAGTTTTGATTATAAGGTGCTTGGTGTACTGTTCTTTCTGTTTTGTATAATGGAGTTTGATAAACTTCTTAGAAGTATAAATTTATTAATGTCATTAAACTTGTAAAGTTTTGCCCACATTTCTTCAAATAGTTTACTGACTACCACTTCTTTCAAGGAATCTATTTCCACCAAAGTTGTCACAAGGACAGCTGACACTTTTTTCATCATTTTTAGATTCTTCTGTTGCTGTAGACTCCATTTTAGATAGATTATATTGTTATGCCTTTGAGTTCACTAATCTCTTCTGCAATGTCTATTCTACCATTAACTTATCATTTTCCAACTTTCTATTTTAATATTTTATACATCTGCTTTTACCTTTTGAAAATATGAATACAATTATAATGATTACTTTCTTCTTTCTTCACTAAATCAAATGGTTATTTAGTTTTGCATCAGTTTCAAATGATTGTCTTTTTCACTATAAATTTTATTCTTCTACTTCTTTTCATTTTTGGTAATATTTAAGTGGATATTAGACATTATAAGTGTTAGGTCCTGGATATTATGTTGTTTATCTACATCTTCAAATTTTCTGATGCAGTTATATTAGTTAGGAACATTTTAACTCTTCCAAAATTTTACTGTGTGAACTGTTAGTTGAGTCAGAAGCCCTCTAGTCCTGCTTCCTATATGAGTGCCAGGAACTGTGCCCTCTAATTCTTTCACATATTTTCTACCCTAGCTTCAATTTCTTCACAAACACGGGACAACCAGTATGTGCTGTGGGCATCGAAGGCACATCCTTTGCAGATTTCCCAAATTCTCTCTGTGTGTGTTGTTCTTTTTCAGGCAATTTTCCCGTAATCTCTAGCTCTGTCATCTTCCTTGAACTCTTGGAGTTGTTTCCACAACTCAGGTGTCTAGCATCTTAATTTCCTTCAATGTGTCAATTCTTCATTGGATTATCTTTTTGTAAATACTTAATATTTAACATTCAACATAAAATACTTTTAATAGCAAAATAACTTACCCGGGTCCATAGTTACATACAAATAATGAATATGTCAATCCCCCGAGGTTAGGGCAAATTGTAATTGCACAACCAACTTTATATGAATTGGCCCAAACTACCTATAAAAGAAAGGAATTGTAAAGCAACATGTTCAAAACAATTCTATGTAAACAATGCATCATGGGAACAAGTATAATATTTGTCATGCTATCAAAAAGAATACATAAATATCTCCACTATAATTTTATGATTTAATAGTTTAAGAGACTTTTTTTTCTTTAGGTTGCTTTTACAAGGGCTATCACAGATCATTTCATAATTTCACAGATAATTTTCGTAAATCCAAGGGAAAATATACACTTTAAACCATAATATATAGCTAAAATTATAGTTTCTTCTACATGATTTAGGAAATATATTTTAATTTCCCCATAGGCATAGCATACAATCCACGCTGGACTATAAATGAAAAAAATAATTTTGTTTTTCTGATTAAAAATTTGTTTATTACATTTCTAATTTTGTAGTTTTACCTATATTCTTATTGCTGTCAAGTCACAAGAAATAGCTAAGATGGATTAAGAACATGTTGAGTTCATAAAAAAATTTCTGCCATATGGATGGTATTTATTTTCATCAAGTTACAAGAAATACCCACATTATTCAAAAGGAAGAAGACTTTTTTGGAAAACTGGCCATAGGAGATTGATAAAAAGGTGAAGAAAATTACTAGTCCTTTGTTACAATTACAGAATGGAATTTTCTCCATTCTTAAAATAGAAAAAAAGGAAGAAATATTTGATTTATTACAAATGGGAAACAAAATAATCCAAGGAAAATTTTGACAACACAGATTAACTTTCTGCTTTGAGCCGATATTTTCATTAACAAAACATTAAACTATTCCATAAACTGATTATCAGTCATTTTTTATAACTGTGGTATAGCCACAATTCATAATTTTGCAAATTATATTTTAATGGCTCTTTGGCTGCCTGAAAGACAGCACAGTTCAGTAAAAAGCCTGGTAAACTGAGGAATAAGAGATGGGTTTTGGTTCTTGCCAAATGTGGCTAGGAGTGAAATATCAATTGTAAACTACTTTCTCACTTAATAATAAGATCAAGCAAGATTAAAGATCTTTTTCCTTCAGAATTTTATAAAAAGTCAATAAAGTATACGACTACAAGAGTACATATGTTCAAGAAATACTGTTTAAAATTTAGCTTCATGAATAGCTAAACCACAGTATTCTATTTGCTTAATATGTTTAAATGGTGATTAATTTTTTATCTTTGGGAATCGTGAAAATAAATATTCACTATGAGTATCTTTAAAAGGTATATTGCTTTCATTAAATGGACTAGATATATTAATAAAATGCTGGATATAACTTTAATATATAATCAGGTAAATGCAAGACATTTTATTTCATTTTATTTAGAACATTAGGCAAGATACAATTGTTGAATCAATAAAAAGAATGCAACTATTCCTAATAATTTAAGTTTATATGTAAATTGGGCAATGAAAAGTAAGCTCCCATTTCTTTTGTTAACAATCCTCAGGGAGAAGGCATATTTGGGAATAGGCTCCTTTCCTTACAACAACGAGAAACCAAAAGATAGAGAAAGGCTGTGAGCTAGTCTTGATGCCACATTCTGCTTTTTGTCAGTACTTCTGATATTTGATTTCTCTCTACCGATAATAGCCAAATCATATTCTTTAGCAACAGCATCTGTTCTGATGTCTTCAAGGGTGTCCAGACTTAAGAGGACCATTCTGTTGTTGAACCATTCTGTTGTTGAACAAAAAAAAAAGTAAACAGAAGGGGAATATGGAATCTACTAATTTTCTTGTTCACTGAACTAACAATAAAAAATGATTTGCCTTAGGACCATGAACATTAATTCAACTTATACAGATGGGGAAGTTTGGTGAAGAAAGCCCTTTCTATTTTTTCTTAGGAACTTGGTACCCTGTCTAGAATTGTCTAAAAAGTGATTTCCACCTCTCATGAGAAAGAGTAACATGGATAAATCTATAGTCCTACCTGAAACCACCAAAACAATTGAAAAAATTACAGGAAATAATGGTTTTCAAGACACTGGGCATTAGGTAATACATGTTAATCCTCTGAGAGTTTGGGAAATAAGAGGTGTGTGGTTACAGATTATTTCCTTATGAGAATTTCCAGACCACAGTATAAGAAGTGGATAACCAGGAAAAGATTGAAGGACTCATATAGGTTAAAGTCTGAACCGAGAGTCTGGGGAGATGAAGGTTGGAGAAGTTAAGAGGGAATGGTACTGGAGAATTTTACAGTGACACACTGTGGTATCTGCAGATGGTTCTCATTAACTATCCAGCAGGGCATTCATGTGAAGAAACTACTCTATGCCTCAGAAATAATTACCCAGAAGAACCAGAGGAAATTTACCAAGGCCTACACAAGGCAGGGCATGTCCTCACTATCCTGACTGGAACACTTCAAAATTCTCTGGGCATTGTGTCGAGTATTCAGAAGAATCTTGCTTCAGTAGTGAGATACATTTAGCCCTAGACTACACACTGCTTTCATTCTACTGAATGTGTTTTTAAAAGCAATAATGAAAAGATCAGTATCTAAATTGACTACCCCAGAAGACTCTCAAGAATATTTATAGGAATACAAATAAATTGCCAGGTGCAGTCATGAATGCCTGTAGCCCCATTACTCAGGAAGCTGAGGGAGGAGGATCACTATAATTCAAGGCCAGTCTGAGGTACATAGTGAGTTCAAGGCCAGCCTGGAGTACATAGGTAAACCCCATCTCAAAAACAAAAAAATAACCTAAAGCAAGGTAATACCCAGCAGGGTAAAATTTTACAATATTAGGTGTATGCACACAAAGTAAGAAGCAGAAACAATTTTGACAATGAAGAACAAAATAGGTTCTTTGAAACTAATAGAGAGCTGGACTTAGTGGGAAAATATAAAACTCTTATTATATCTATGTCATATACTTAAAAAGCTACATGCAGCACCCCCCAAAAAAGCCTGCTGTGTGAAAGATTGAATATACCAAGTAGTGTATTTATTGAAGATATAAAAAACACCTAATTAATTTTCTAGAAATGCAAACAAAGATCCAAGATTGAAAATAAGCTCAAACAGTATAAAAGATTAGTAAAATGACAACCATAGTTACACAACTATCTGAAATTAATCATAGAGAGAGAATAATTCAAGCAAGGAAGAGGCAGAAGCACTCAATCAAACTGCCCTGGGACAATCGTCCAAATCAACAGGTAAGACTGAGGACGTGGTAATCGCTAGAATGCAATTTGAGAGAGCTAGCAGCCAAGTGCAACACGGAATAATGATAGTAAAATAATAAGTGAGATAACAAAATAGTGTGAACCAGCACTGAACATTTTCCAGCTCAGTCAGAGGGGGTTGAAAGAGAAAAGCGCAATATGCACTTAAGAATACTCTGCTTCCTGACAAGAATACTGCCTGAGTACAACAGTAACGAAATTTCAGTCCAGTGCCTGAGTGTGGGAGGTAATGGCCAGCACTGCCCAGTAGACTTAAACAGTGCCGGGAAGGGGATCCATGTTAAGAAGTCCCCACTGTCTCACAGGGCTTGCAGGAGAGAAAAACTCCTCCTTGTTTGTGTTTGTGTGCGCATGTATGTATGTGTGTCTGTGTCTGTGTGTGTCTGTGTACGTGACTGGTGATTGAACCCAGGGCCTTTGCAATGAGCTACATCCCAGGCTCGTTTTAATTTTTATATTTTTAAAGACAGTCTTGCTAAGTCACAAGGTTGCCATGCACGACTCCAACTTGCTATCCTTCCTCAGCCTTTCAGAGTGCTGGGATTACATGTGGGCTACCATGCCTGCTCCCCACATTTATTACATGTCTCAGATGCCACGGCTGCTTCTCAGGGAGTCACAGGTGATCTTAAGATTCAGCATAGGCTGAGGAGAATGATGACTACGCCACAAAGTAAGATCACAGGGAAGGGAGAAACATCCCAGTGGCTGTGCTTGGAGGCAGGGAAAACTCTAGGCTTTGGAAAGTCCCTCCATGGTTGCCTAGGAAGGACAATGCAACTGGCAGGTACAGAGCGCATTCAGCCAGGTGGAGGGATGTTTTTTTAAAAAGTTGGACTGTGAAAAGGAAAGAATCCAGGTATGTAAGGTTTTGTGGGGGATACGATCTAAGACCAGGAACAACTCTGCTTGGACTGATAGACAGTTATGTGCCAGAGGCTTTTCAATAAAGCCAGACACTGTGCACCCAACCACCTCTGCCCTGTGCAGAGCCATTCAGAGTGTAATTGGCAGTGAAGACACTTGCCACGCATGTCTCCAAGAGCATGGACTGGTGGTTTCTGGAAGTGGACCCACAATCCCAACCAACCAACGGCAAGGTAGGTGAGAGGTGTGGTGGGCAGCTCCAACACAAGCCACAACCCCCAATTTTATGGGCACAGAACCCTGAGATATTGGTGTAATCTGGGCCTGACACTGATAACCTTGCCTTAGCACTCATCTGTGATCAGAGAGGAGTGAAGTTTAACTTACAGACTTCCATAAACAGTTTGTCCTGCTCGGACAGAGACTGAGATGGGGAATTTAGGCCTAAAGTTTTCAGAATCCTCCTTATATCAAATGGTGTGCAATAATAGACATTTTGAGAAAATTATTGTCTCCATTATAAATACCTCCACAAAAAGGAATATTAAGCCTTTTTTATTGTTGGATTGTTTGGTGTATGTGTGCATGTGTGTTTATGTGTGTGTGTGTGTTAATTTTTGCTTTTGTTTCTACTATGTTCCATGTTGTTTTATAATGTTTTTTTCTGTATTTATTTTTTTTTCCATAGGCCTATATAATTTTTTTATAGTTCAACTCTCTATCCTCTTATTTTCCATTTACATTACCTTTCCATCTTCTCTCATATATTATTTTATCTCTCTTTCCTCACCTTTTTTTATTAATTAGCATTAATCTTAATATCATTAATGCCTAATTTTTTCTGGCACATTCTTATTTTCATTTCTTTTCTGGGTTAGTGAAATAGTAGAGACATTTTGAAACAATTTTTTATTATATGTTTATATGTGTTTAGCTTTTTAGTTGTCTGTGTTTCTGGTAGTTATTCTGTTCTCTCAAAGTGGAATTAGGGATAAACTCTAGCACTCTGAAAGGTGGAGAGGGTGGTTTCACACTGAGACATATACACAGCCTGAGGCACATCATAAAGAGAACTCCACTTACTAAAAAACCACAGTAGTGGTAAAGATGTCCATTCCAACAGATGCAAAAATCTCAACATAAAACTCACAAAGCTGAAGGAATTATTCATTCAAAACAGACATGACCAGAAAAAGAGCCTTGTTATAACTTACCAGAATCAAATTACCAAAAATTAAGAACAGAGAAAGAATATAAAAAGCTGTATGAAACACTAGAACACTTATAACGGCAAGTGCATCAGTATAACAGCACATTTCTCAACAGAAACTCTGAAGGTCAAGAATGCTTGGGATGATGTATTTTAAGCCCTAGAAGAAAATAACTTCAAACATATATTGCTATGTCCTGCAAAGCTGGAAAATGATACTCCAAGTATCTGGAATTAAAAAGCAAGCAGGATTACCTATATTCATATCCAACGAAAAAGACTTGAAAGTAAAATTAATCAGAAGAAACAAAGAAGGTCACTATATATTGGTAAAGGGAACAACAATCCACCAAGGAGAGAATATCAGTGCATCCAGTTTCATAAAATAACGCTGTTTTACAAGGGGACAAATATTAATAATTATGCTCAATGACTTCAATTCTCTATACTCATACATAGGTCATCCAGATAAAACATTCAACAAAATGTCAGAGTTAAACTATACAATACATCAAATGGATTTAATAGACATTTACAGAGTGTACGCTCCAACAACAGAATGTACAGCTCAGAACTTTCTCCAAAATGGACTGTATTTTAGGTCATAAATCAAGTGTTAATAGAATAAAAATTTAAATGATATTATATATCTCATGAAAATACAATGGAATGAAGCTAGAAATTATCAATAAAAGAAATCACAAAAAACATGCACAAGGTCCCAAGTTCTACACACGGTACAAAAAAAAAAAAAAATTTGTTCCTGAACTAGATAAACAAGATTGGTACATCCCTATCCAAACTAACCAAAGGAAAAAGAAAGAAGGCCCACATTAATAAATTAAAGAAAAAAGTAAATGCCACAATAAATACCCATGAAATTCAAAGAATTATTAGAAACTAAATTGTAGGATCTAGAAAAAAAGGGCTAAATATCTAAATATATATGACCTAAAAAACCAAACCAAGAACACACAAAAATCTAAATAGACACAAAATGAAGTGGTTAAAAATATAAACATTCTCTTAAAATAAAATCTTAGAACTAGATGGATTTACTACTGAGTTTTTGTAGACATTTAAAGAAGTACTAACATCAATGCTCTTCAAACTTTTCCATGAGAGGCCAGGCGTGGTGGCACATGCCTGTAATCCCAGCTCTTGGGTGGCTGAGGCAGGAGGATCGCTGTGAGTTCAAGACCAGCCAGTTCAATACCAGCCTGGACTACATAGTGAATTCCAGGTCAGTCTCAATTACACAGTCTCAAAAAACCAAACCAAACCAAAACAAAACAAACCAAAAACAAAAAACAAAAAAACAAAAAACCCACAAACTTTTCCATGAGAGAAGGGAAATTACAGAAACAAAAGAAGAAAACTACAGACCAAGATACTTGATGAACAAAGATGCAAAAATCTTAAATAAGGTTTTTGCAAACAGAATTCAAAGCACACTAAAAAGATATGCCATGACAAAGTTGGTTTTATTCCAGGGATACAAGGATGATTCAAAATATGTAAAACAATAAGTGTAATATATCATATAAATAGAATCAATAATAAAAATTATATGAAAAAAAACAAACATTTTGGATTCTTGATTCTGTTCCAAAAAACAATAATTGCTTGTGAGGAATGGAGTGAAACTGGATTCACATTGTTATGGTTTGTTTCTAGATGTCCTCCCAAAGCCTCTTGTGATCATAGGTGGAGGTTTTTAGAGGTGGGGTATGTGATACTGGGATTAAGGCTGCCCCACTACTGGAGTGAGTGCTACCTGCCCTAAGGGTATGTATCCTGGATAGAATGTAAGGGACAGAAAGAGGCCCCAGAAAGAGCTGTCATTGCTTACTGCTTTATGCCTGCCCTGTTTTGCCATGGACTGTTTCTCCTCTGTGATACTCCTCTGCCACGCCAGCCAGCTATGGGCTGAAATCTCTACAAACTGTAAGCTACAACTCTTTTCTCTTTTAACTTTTTTTTTTTTTTTTTTTTTTTTTTTTTTTTTTTGACCGTGGATGAAACTCAGGACCTTGTGCTTATGAGGCAGGTGTGATTCCACTGAGCTAAATTCCTGGCCCTTTTCTCCTTTGAGTTTTGGGTACTTTGTCTCAGCAAGGAGTAAAGTAACTAAGGCAGTCATCTAGTACATCCATTATGGAAATCAGTTTGGAAGTTCTTCAGAAAACCACACACAGAGACACCGTTGTTTCAACTACACCACACCTCTATATATTCCCCCAAAGAATTAAATATAACATATAGTGATACCTACATACCCATATGCAATGCAACACAAATCATAACAGCAAAGCTGTCAACCGATGAACAGATTTAAATATTGTGGTACATATACCCACATACATTTTTATTTAAGCATAAAGAAGGTAGAAATTGTGTTATCTTCAGGAAAATGGATGGAACCAGAGGCCATCATGTGAAGCAAAATAAGCCAGACTTAAAAAGTTAAAAATCGCATGTTTTATCTTATATGGGGAATTTACAAAAAACATGTCTGTGGGAGCTGACAGGAATGTAGAATCTAGTCTATTAGAGATAAGGTAGTGACGATCAGGGAAATAGATAAGGGATGGGGGAAAGAATTAAAGTTTATTATATGCATACACTAATATACCAAAAGAAAACCCATTATTATGCATTACTAATATGCACTAATTAGATTAGATTAAACTAAATTAAATTTAAAACCCATGGGACAAATTCAAGTGATCTAACTGGACACTGGAAAGAAAGGAGATAGCGGAAGAAATATTTTAAGGAATAATGACCAATATTTTTACAAACTTAGTTTAAACTGTAGACTTAGCACTCTAAGAAGTTCAGTGAACTGCAGCAAGGAAATATTAAGAAAACCATTCCACACTTATTTAATAAGTCATTCAAGACATATGATAAAAAATAGGCTTTACATGCAAAGAAATAATGAAAGGATTACAAGACTCCTTATTGAAAGCAATAGAGTATAATGATAGCAGAATAAGATTTTCAAGTTAAAAAAAACAAACTCACTACATAAATTCTATAATATAAACAACACTTAAAATTAAGGTGAATTTTATGAAACTCAAAACTAAAGATAAAATTCTAAAAAAAGGTCTTTTAGTTGAAATGTACATAGATAAGAACCAATTAATAAACTGCCAAATAGTTACCTGTGTATAATGGCCACAAACGCCAGAACACGATAGATTATCAAAGTCAAAAAGGTGAGATTCATTATACCAACCAGTAATAGCATATTTTGGAGTAAATTCTGTGAATCCACCTAACCAAATATTTTCTCCAATATGTTCAAAACCTTGGGAGCATTGGTATGGTGTTTGTCAACAACTGTTGTGTTCAAATTTGCACTTGTTTGCCCAAGCTTTAGCCACCTTTGCTAAACCGTCATCCCAACTCTGAAAAATAAAAAAAAGTTTAAAATTAACTTTGCATATTCATTTATGTCAAACTTATTCTAATGATCATAAGCGGTTAAACTCTGTTCACATTTATTAATTTAATAAATACATGGTGTTTTGGTACTTACTATGTTTGAGGCAATTTCCATTTATTTACATTTTAAAACCACATATTTAATACTCATTCTATGGCACTTTGTGAGCTTCTACGTCCTAGTAAGAGTCCAGCTCCTCAGGAAGCTGAGACAGAAGGACCATGAGTTTGAGGCTAGCCTGGGCAACTTAGCAAACCCCTGTTTCAAAATAACAAATAGCTGGGATGCAGTTCAGAGATACAGTGTTCCCGATTCCATCCCATCTATTGGAAAAAAGAAAGAAAAAAGTTCTCAGTCTTTTTAAAACTCAACTCTCTTAATCTGTAGGTTTTCCTTTCTTTCTCATACTGTAGCAGTGTTCCAGGTTGCTCTTACATGTTTTCTACTCACATTTTGGATTCAGCCATTTCTTTCCCCCATGGAAATCTTTCATTGGGGTAAAAATACAATAATATGGGTGCTATGAATTCTCACTGTAGTGGTTATTGTTTCTTCTATACTTTTTCAATGGATAAAGCTAGGCAATAACTAAAAATAAATTATGAGTTCATGCTAACTTTTCAATTCTGATTTAGAGATTACAGTGTTTGACCATGTCATAATATCTACTTGTGTTATGCAGCAGTTCTTGATTTCAAAAAATTAGCATATTTAATTTTTGATTTATGATATAATGTGCAATAAAATTATTTCAAAAGCACAGATATCACTACTAGCATTAAAATTTTTGGAATTCAGTTTAAAATTTATAGCTAGTTAATTTTGCCTTCAGAATGTATTGTATTAGAAATATACAATTGAAACACTATTGCAAAGTCTTTTACGTAATTTTAAAGTATGTGTTTGAAGTCAATTTGATATATTAATTTTAGTTCTAAAATTTTATTTCTGAAGCATATTTTTTTCTTTGTGGTAAAATATTAAAATTACATAAAAATTATGTATTTACCAACTCAAATTCTAAAAGAAAGTAAATTTGAAGAAGGCACATTTTTGTTCTTATCTCTTGCAACCTATTGCTTCTTTTCCTCCCTTGTAGGTTGCTGGGTATGTTTAAATTGATTTTACATATTTCCTTCATTGTTTGCTTTAAAAATATATATGCTATGATATAGAATGTATGTGTAGATATGTAATGTACACACATATTTAAATAACATTTTCATAGTAGAGTCCTTTAAAAACAGGGTCTATCGTGAAATAAATATTAGGAAAGACTACATGGCAAATACATATCTTTAACTTCCCTAGTCTGTTAATGATTAAGGAAAACATTACACATTGAAATATTTTTAACAATTCTGCATTAAAGAGATCAGTTTATATTATTTTCCAAATCTATTTGAAACTCCCTCCTTCTCAGAAAATCATTTTCTCATATGGCTGAACAGTGTAGCTTTGAACTTATTTTAAGTGCTTGGTTTGTGACTTTTTAAATTTTTTATTTCCTACTGAACAGAAAGAGGGAAGGCTGAAATAGATAAGGTTGAAGAGAACCTGCATCTGCCTAGTGTATAGACTAACACCAGCAACATCTTTGTTCATAAAAATAGCATATTTATAGGAAAAAAAATTCCCACTGAGACAATGCATATGCAAGAATTTGTTTAAAATGTGTAAAGTGTAGGATTTTTTTAGTAATCCACATTTTTGCTTATTCTTTCACAAAGCACTCTCTTGCCCCATTGTCTGTGTGATGAAGGTCTTTGAAAAATACAAATAGTGCCATGTTTTTCAAATTAAAGTTCACAAATTTATTATTTTTCATTAAAATGACCATCGGATATTATTCAAGTGCTGCTTTCATTGTTTACATTCTTCTAGAATATTTTTATCTTTCAAATAAATAGTACACATGTAGCGTTGTTTTGGTCTTGGGCTTGCTAGGTATAAAAATAAGAAAGAGAATGAGACAGTCATCAGGAAAACTGTAACTTTAATATGTGTCATCTCAGATATGCTGGGTGGGAGGTGAGAGGAAAGAGTGAGGCAGAGAGAATGAGAGAGGGAGAGAGAGAGGGGAGAGAGAGAGAGAGAGAGAGAGAGAGAGAGAGAGAGAGAGAGAGAGGTAAATCACAGTGAGGAACAATCAAGATCAGCCACCATCTGCTTCCCTCCCTACCCCAAAGAAGTTCAGTCTAAGAAACGAAACAAAACAGCTTCCAGTTGTCCTTTCTTGTCCACTCCTTCCATTACCTTGGAGGACCCTGCCCATCGAAAATGACTTTCTTCAAGCTACAGGCGGAATTCAGACCACTCAGACAAGTAAATCCATGAAATGTACAATCTCCTAAGATACCTTAGGATGAACCGGACCACTACAAGCTCAGCCCCCTCTTTTCTCACCATGTATTTCATGTCCGCTGCGGGAGGACTGACTTGGCCTCGAAATTCGTTGTGGGACTCAACACACTGGTTGATAAAGTGTGGGTCTGTGATGGATGGGACTGTGGGAGATTTACCAGCTACTAAACACAGACCAAAGATCCATAAGCAACTAAATTTCGTCTTCAGAGCCATGGAAAGCAGCGAAGAATGCTCAGACTGCACCAACCCGTAACGGTAGGCTGGGGCAGCCCGACCTCCCCAGCTCCAGGGACTGCGCGCGCTCTCTCTGGGCTTCATCTTCCAGCACAGGCTCGAGCCCAGCGCAATGATCCCTAGCAGACCGGTTCCCGAGGGTGGTGTTGCTGGTGGTGGTGCGTGTGTGGGGGAAGGCCACACAGCGTTGGGATGGTACAGAGTTGTAACTATCCGAAGGTCAGATCCCTTCCCGAATCCTTGCAACCGGTGTTTGGACTGTGATCCAGGTGGCTACACGCAGGCAGCACATTGTTAGAGAGCAAGGTGTCCTGGAGGCTGCCTGTGGGCCCGGTCTGTGCATGTACTATAGTTTTATCGACTTGGCCTCTCCGTACTGGTTTTTAAATTTTATTTATTTTTTTACTGCTTTGCGTACACTGTAACATCCTTTTGCTCCTTCTATCTGGGATTAAGAATTAAAGAACAGGCAATTTGTAAACTCAGTGACAGATTGTAATCCTATATTATTTATTGTCAAAAACTTAATGATTAGACTGTCTAGAATGACAGTACGGTAGACACATGGAAAAGTATGGCCAAGCAGTCCCCCTTGACAAAATCTTCAGTTTTGATAGTTTAGAGTGGTGCTTGGATGAGTTTGCCAAAGACTAGGACTATGAAGAGAGTAGCTTTAGTTTCTTGCTTCACCTAAGAAACACCTGGCTTTATGTTTTAAATTCATGATATTAATGATATTGTTATTTAAAAATAAAACAATATTTCTCTATGATATAAAGTGATCTTTTTTTCCAGAATTGCGTGTTTCAAACGAATATCATTATTTAATCATTTAGGCGGTTTACAGTGCCATTTAATTCAAGTGAACACATACATCTCCTGAATGTTCTGCCACATTCAGGATAACTGTACCACTAACACAGATGATCTAAAAAATCTACTTTGATGAAAGTAGTTGTCATTTTGAGTAGAAAGCAGAAGTTAAATTATGAAACAAAGTAATGCAAAGATCCTAATAAAAATTGTCCTGGATAGTAGGGAAACTATTTCTGATCCATATAGACTGAAATGTCTGAAATCCACAGGGCAAGAGAGCAGGCTCCAGATTCACATGAAGGTTGATGTTGCAGTCTTAAATCCAAAGCCTGCTAACTCTGACTGTATAGTGATGCCGCACTCTACAGGCAAAGTTCTCTTTTCTTTCAGAAACTTTAGTCTTTGCTTTCAATCGATTGGAAGAGGCCCATCCACACTAAGGAAGATAAGAGTGATCTATTATAGTCAAAATCTATTGATTTAAATGCTAATTAATTCTAGAATCTATCTTCACACAATATCTAGACTAATATTTGACCAAATAGCTGATCACCATGGTATATTTAAATGGATACATGGCATTAGCCATCCCACCCTCTTCTTCCCCAAACATTTTCATGCATATCTTATTACTTTATCCTTCTTTTCCTTTACCCTGAATACTGCTTTCAATTCATCTACAAGTCTTATTAGCTCTACTTTTAAATTACTTCCTTAAAGCAAATACTTAGCCCTGTTCTGTGGATAGCCAATCCTCTGGTCACGCCAATATCATTCATGTCTTCCCCAAACTGAGGTAGTAGTGTCCTTCTACTTTATTTTTCTGTATCCATTCTTACTACACTATGATTTATTTTCCATAGAACATAATCTTTCCTCTCCTTGAAATTCCAGCGAATACCCTTCACACTCAATATAAAGTCCACAGTCCTATACATAGCTACAAGGCACTACATAATCCGATCCTGGGCAACTACGTCATTGCCTTTCCTGTATTCTCTCAATGTTCACCCACATCTTTCTTACTGCAGTCACATCAGTCAGTTGACAAGGATGCTCTCCACTAAGGCCCTTGGGCTTTTTCTTTTATTTGTTTATTTATTTTTATTCATTAAGTTTATTAGTACATTTTAGGTATACAATATGATGAGATTTATCATTGGGAATTTGTACCTGTACATGATGTATCTTGATTCTTGTTTTTTCCCCAATTCCCCTTCCTTCCCTTTTACTCTTCCACCCCTCCCTTTTTACAAAAAAAATCTTTGTTTATCTTTTTTCTTTCTTTTCTCATATTTTTCTTTTTTCCTTTCCCCTACCCTCCTTCTTACTTTCCCTTCCTCTTTGAATCTTTTCTTCCTATTTCAGCCCAAATGTCCATCAACTGGTGACTGGATAAAGATGTGGGCTTTTCTTTTTTATGGAATGGATTAGTACTCAGCCATCAAGAATGATAAACTTGCTCTTACTTTTTTTTGCAGTGCTCCTTGCAGAGTTCCCCTCAATGAAGTCTTTGCTGATTATGCTACATGACTTACCTGCCAGTGTCTATTTCCTTCACTGCATCAACTGTTATCTGAATGTATGCCGTTTCTTTAACATCTGACTCCTTCATTAGATTGTAGTTTCCACCAAAACAGTTTGCTTTGTTCATTGCTGTATTTTTAGTGCCTAGAACAAGTACAGAATCTGTAGGCCTTTACTGAAAATTCACTGAATGAATGAAGAAATTAGAATTATTCTATTTTTCATATATACAAGGAGCGCAATATTTTTATTCAAACAATAATTTGCCAAACATCACTCATTTATGAAGTTAAAATTCAACAGAAATGTTTGCTTGTCTTGAGGAACACTTGGAGAAATTACTCTGAATCCAAGGCTTTATTGTATTATGTTTTCAACAGATGTTTGTTTAATACATGAATAACTGAGTAAAAAAGTAAAAGAAAATTTAAAGTAAATTTGAGCTTAAAATTCAAATATTTTTGGCATGTTGGAGATGAACACAGGACCTTATGCTTGTTATGCAGATTACTTTTCTAGCACAATAATAAATTAATATATACTATTTCAGTTTCGTTTTGTCACAGAGAGGGCAGTGCGCAGTCAATAGTAGTATGTACTTACATAAAATCATGAATTGTTTTAAAAATTGGCAAAAAAGTCAATTTACATGGTCAATATAGAATCCAAGATTTTGCTTTTTTAATGGAAGGAGTACAAGTTTGATCAATTGATATTAAGTTACAGTGAAGAGAAATAGTTTCTAGTGCTCTAATGCACATTGGGGTGACCAGAGATATGGTAATGTACTGTATAATTAAGAAAAGCTTGAAGAGGGAATTGACATTTTTACAGTGAGGAAATGATGTTTGAAAAGATTGGTAAGTTCACCCTGACTTCAACATTACACAATGTACGCAATGTGACAAAGTATTACATAGTAACCTATAAGTATGTATACTTTTGAAGTATTGAGGACAAATAAAGAAAAAAGGGTGTATTGTCAAAATGTCTGAGTTGTATAGATGTGTTTTTTTTTTTTTTTTTTTTTTTT